GTGATAGAAACCAAGTTTCACAATCCAGACAATTCCCGATGGATGAATAAGTCCTGTCCTACATTCACTGGAAAAAATGTTTTGTCAGGTAACATATTTTATCTTTTTTAATATATTAGAATTTAAAACAATTATTTCAAATTGCAATAATATTTCACAGTATTCCTGTTTTTACTGTAATTCTGAATACATATTTTTTTAAATAAAAAGTGTAAATATTTCAAACTTTTGACCAGGAGTGTATATCTGCTGATATTGAATATTTAATTATTCATGTTAATTTCTCCTACTTTTAAATGTACAGGTAAATTACCTTTGCCATCATCTAACACTTTAAACACTTGTTTATTTATTTATTTATTTATTTTTAAATAAAACACTGTTAAATATAATCTTTAGCAAATTTGGGTGTATCCCATTTTCTTCTCAAGGTAATCACTCCACATTGTAACTTTTTTACAGTGTTTTTTTTTTCCCCTCTTTGTCACTAGTAATTTCATTACATTATGTTTCATGTTGACTACAAGCTTGATTTAAGTCTTGCTGGAAAAAAGAGGAACCGAATTCTCAAAGCACACTCATATTTTTATAATGATAATAAGAATGCTGTGACACATCTTTTAGAAATGCTCTTCATTTGACCATTTGAAAAGCTTTGAGTCGCTTGAATGAAGCATCAAACCCATGCTCCATCACTCTCTCAGCAGTCCCTCATTGTTCCCCTTCTTCCATCTTTTAGTGTCTTCGCACCTTGTTTTAGCACTATGTTATAGCACTTAACTTCCGCTGTTTCTTATCATCCATTATTGATCATTTTCTGTTCTCACCATGTCACTCGCAGCCATTACTGTTATCAGTCATCTTCCCCCCGCAGGTTTCCCTTGTCTACCTCTCATTTCTGCTTCTCAGTGCTCCATCACCTTCTCTTCACCTCGCACAGCCTGTAATTCTTTCTCCTCTGTCTGACATTTCAGATTCCCCCCAAAACCCAACGTCAGAAGTTACACCTACTCTTCAAGCAATAAGTGAATTAAATTTTACAATTACAGCATGTTGACATGATTATTTAAAAAAAAAAATTAATTGATTTTCTTATGCTATCTTGTTTTCTAACTTTTAATCAGGAAGGATGCATTAAGTTGGCAGTAAAGACATTTGTTATGTTAAAAAATAATTCTGTTTTAAATAAATGCTGTTCTTTTTGAGCAGCAAATCAGTATATTAGAAGGATTTCTGAAGGATCATGTGACACTGAAGACTGGAGTAATGATACTGAAAATTCAGCTTCGACATCAAAGGAATAAATTACATTTTGAAATATATTCAAATAGAAAACATTTATTTTAGATTGTAATAATATTTCACAATACTGTGTTTTTGATCAAATAAATTCAACCACAAACTTTTGAACAGTAGTCTACATATGCAAAAATAAAGTATATCATATATAATAATCATATGGGACATAAGAAACATTGTTCCCTGTGGAGAACAACATACACTGTACTGTATAAGTGAAGCTGTATGGCTGCTGTATAATAAAGAGCCTTGTGCTGGAGAATGGGTGGATAAATTAATTTATTGATTGGGATGCTGTAAAAGCTGTGTTTAAAAGTACATGTAGCTTATCTGAAACCTATTAAGTGAACCATTATCGTATTTAGTGGAAGTGATTCAAATGTGTTGCCTCGGTGTACACAAGAGAAAGGAATATAGATATAAAATTGTACATGACATCAGAGATTACATCAGCCCTGGTCCAATGCTGCCAGGTTTTACAACACCATGAAGGATGGATTTATTAACATTTGCATGGTGCAACATTTTTGCATTTTTATTCAGAGTGACATTTATAATACAAACAGATTTGCTACATATAAGACGATGCAAGTGATCAAATCAATCCAAGCAGAACATGCTGCTAATTTCCTGGCTTGTAAAAGCACAGCAGGATATTTCACATCTAACAGGTTTAATCAGCTGAGATTCAAATAATGTGTGTAGCAATACAATAGGAATACAGTTTGAATGATTTATACAAGCCAAAATAAAAGACTGGGGCTAGTTGTCACATGCACAAACTAAACGTTTGCCCTGAGAACATAGTTCAACATTTTTGTCAAAATCTACCTTTATTTAACAGCTGAATGTATGCTAGTATTGATTTGCTTGTGTTTTACATTTGTTAACACAACAGACATTGCAAAAATATGATCATATTGAAAGTAAAACGCATAGTGAAAATGAAAACTTGCTCAAAATGTATTCATCCTTAGGCCATCCGAGATGTAGGTAAGTTTGCTTGCTCATCGGAACAGATCTGAAGAAATGTATCATTACTGTACATCACTTGTTCACCAATGGATCCTCTGCAGTGAATGGGTTTATTAGTGAGCGAGTGACTGTAGTGATTAATTTCTCCAATTCTGTCAACATATTGGATGGCCTGAGGGTGATTATACTTTTAGCAAATTTCCATGAACTATTCCTTTAAGGACAGAATTAACAACAACAAAATAGTATAGTATGAGATAAATTTTAAGCTAAATATTTGTAACCAACATACAAATTGACTGCTAGATTAAACATTTGGATCAAAACCTTGTAGTTATAAGCACTAACTGACAATTTGCCCTGTCTCCCCTATATTACAGTATATTGCTGTAGTTTTATCTTTTGTCTTTTGCTAAGTGGTCTGTGAACAACTGAGAGCTTGTCTGATTTCCTTTTGTAGGTTTCAGCACCAAGGACAGTGACCATCCTGACAGTTATATAGTAAACAGGTTTCCAACGGCAGTGCAGGAATAAAGCACGTCAAATTGTAACATTTCGCCGCTCTCTATTAATTTATAGCATTTTGCATAATTCTTTAACTCAACTAGGCCCAGAGTGCAAGAAACTGCTTGGGAGAGCATAAAATTCATGGATCAAAATGTTAATGAGACCACATTAATGCACCAAGTACTCTAAGCCACCAACGCATGCTTCTTAAAAAACAAGAATCAGCCAAGGCTTATGTGACTGATGACTGTGACATGTTGTCAAAGTAACGACACTGTGATTTATCACCGGTGTGTTGATACCTGAGCATGAGCTCCCCCTGTAGCCAACACTCCCATTTATACTCACATTAAAGTTCTCAGTGCTGAAATATTTAAGGGCAGCATATACAACATGCATCACTGACATTCAGCTGAGAAAGCATTCGTGCACTTCTCAATTCTGTCACACGGCTGAGGAAACAAATCTGCATGCAAAATCATCCGAATCCTCCAAATAATTCATACAGCATTAATATCCATTAAATCTGTTGCACTTTGCAATTGAAATCAGTTGCAATTATCGCAAAATATGCTTGATACACAAATTAATACGAAAGCATGAGATCAGAGAGGTGCATCATATTTCAAGTGTATGTCATGTAAAAGTGTTTGACACATTGTTTTCAATTATATTATTTGTCAGCATCAATATTTTAGGTTAAAATGTATTTGAAGATACATTCAAGTCAAAGTGTATATTTTAGGTGCTGCAAATGGTCACCATTTATCTTAAGATTTCAGCATTGTATTTTCCTTTTTGTCTTTACCACATCATTTTCTGATCCTGCACTGTACTTTAAGTTAAATTTATAGTAAAAATTGGCAGCTGTGCTTGCCAGAAGGGTTCCAAAACCACATGGTGCCTGTGGTTGTCTCATTTAAAAATTGTTTGTACTGTGAAATGTACTGATAAGCAAGCAGGGGGTACAAGGAACACAATACACTATATCAATGCAGTAAACATAAATTAAGCAACATAAAATGCAGCATGAAACACCCATAACTGTACATAACTTCAAAAAACAATTCCTCATAAATTATAAGGTTATTTCATTATCATTGATATACTATTGTAGTTTTTGATAATATTTTGAAATTAGATTGTATTAGATTTTATTTTTCTATTTTTATTTTTATTTTTATTATTTTATTTTTGTATTTTATTATTTTTTTTCTATTGTCTATTTTTTACTTTCAGTGAATAATAATTTTAGTTTTAGTAATTTTGTGTATGTTTTTGTCAATATTTTATATAGTGGAAACATGCACTGTATATATAGATTTTTTAGGTAACACTTTATTTCGATAGTCCACTTTAGACATTCTATTAGCAGTAAGTAACTGTGCAACTACATGTCAACTAGCATTTAGTAGAGTATTAGTAGACTGTCTGCTTAATATCTTCTAACACTTTCTTTGTCAACTTATTCTACTAACCTTAAACCTACCCCGTCTACTCTGAGAGTTAGTAGACATGTAGTTGCAAATTAATGATAATTAGTTGACATGTAGTTGACATGTAGTTACAAAGTTACTTATAGTTAATAGAATGTCTAAAGTGTATCGAAATAAAGTGTAACCATTTTTTATTTTATTTTATTTTTTAGATATTTTAATACTTAAATTAAATCTACGTGAAAATGAGAAATGTTTCCCTTTATTATTAATAATAATAATAATAATAATAATAATAATATAACAATAATATTAAATTAAATTAAATAAAACATGCATTAAAAGTTTTTAATAATGTTATCTATATGGTATTGTTAGTTTTCAAGTAAACATATTTTTCCAAATATGTTTTAAGGTATAAAAAATGTTTTATACCTTATAGTATATTTACTGAGCCATGTTTATCAAGTTTTTCTCAAGGCTACTCCATGTATTATTTATTTATTTATTTATTTTAAATTTTAGTTCAGTTAAAGTTTGTTTATTTCAGTTAATTCGGGTTTTATTATGGTTTTAGTTATACTTTCAAAAATATATGCCTGTTTATTCTAGTTTACTTTGAACATTATTTTTCATTTAATCGATAATATCTATTTTTTAAATATAACATTTACAATATTGTAAAACATAGACTTACAATAACTGCATGCGCGCGCCGCCGCTGCGTAATCAGCGTTTGGGTTAGCTCGTGCCAGGAGAGAGGGAGAGAGAGGGAGAGAGAGGCTGAAAGATACCTAGTGGAGATGTAAGTCGCTGCTGAAGATTCGCAACAACAAGCAAGTGCTTTAGCGCACCTCCCCCTCCCACTGCGCTCGCTCAGAAGAAAAAAAAATGTTTCTCTTTTGCCTGAGATACACAGTGATGTGAATATCTGTGTGCTGTTGGACAGAGCTCTGGGACGGCTTAAAACAGAAAGAATAGCGGAAACTAGAATTCCTCGCGTGCTTGCAGGACCCGGACGCATAAGCGATCACACGGGATTTCTTCAAACAGCGGTATGTGCTGCTTTATTTGAACCCTCCTGAAACGATATGATTTAAATGATTGTCTACTTTTGTTTGCACCGGTGTGAACGTTACCGGGAATTTGGCATGTTTGGGTTGTTTTCTGTATAGCCAAACAGTGTGATGTATTTCATGCGCAAACTGTTGACAGTACAGTAGATGGTTCACTATGCGCTTCGCATATCACATGGACATTATCAACTGTAGCAAAATCTATTTGGGTCAATGACGATAAATGTTGTTCGAGATACAAACGGGACATTTTTTTTTAATGTATAACATAAAACTTTCAAGGATTTCAAGTAAACATAATTTTTCCAAACATTAAAAAAAAAAATTAATACAAATAAAAAAAATCCAAGTGTTTTTGATTCATGAATATAAAGAGTTACTCTATTTGACCTGAATTGACAATCTTTTTTTTTTTTTATATGGTCAAAACCTTGAGAGTGGTTTGTTGTCATGTCACATGACAACAACATGGCTGCCTGCATATTGGTTACACCAGCGAACAAATATGGCGAACAAACTTTTTTCAAATATTAATAATATTTTAAAACAATATTGCTTTACTGCATATTTTTTGTTTCCATTTATACATTTATAAGACTTTATAAATTATCCGAGACGACTTACAAAAGAGGAACAAAAGCAATTCCAAAGAGCCAACGATATTTGTTATATACAATGCCAGGTTTATGAGAAAACTAAATTAGGAAACAATCTAGAGATTTTGATATGTATGCTTATTTATTTTTTTATTACTTTTGGTAACACTTTATTTTAGTGTCCTTGTTACATGTACGTACTATAGTAATAACAGTAAATCAAGCATGATTACATGCAACTAACTCTAAACCAAACACTAATCCTAACCCAGTAGTAAGTTCATGTTTTAATTAAATTTACTAAGTATTAAATGCATCATTACACAATAACAAGGACACCTTAAAAGTGTAACCTTACTTTTTTACCACAAAAATGTGAAAACAAATTTTAATTCAGAAATTGAAAACTTGTTAATCATGAAAGATGTGAGATAGACGGCATGGAGAGTGTGCCTCACTCAACATTTTTCTGTTGTGTTTTTTTTTTTTTTTGGGGCAATAGCTGTGCTCATGGAATTCCCAAATGATTCCACCGGCTTTGCTGACCCCAGACACGTCCGTCTGTACAACGAGACCCTGTTCCAGAACAACTTCAGCACTTTCAACGGGACTGACAGCTTCTTCCCAAAGGGTGTCAAGATCACTATAGCAATGGTCTACATGATCGTCTGCGTGGTGGGTCTGGTGGGAAACTGCTTGGTCATGTACGTCATCATCAGGTAAGCTGACAGGTCAAAACAGGATGGAAGTTCATATATTATTTATAATAAAATGAGGAATTATAGGTTATGGATTTTGTTATGGTAATAGTACACTGCACTGTTGTGGATGTTTTTTGATAGCCATAAGGAAAACCTCTGCATCCTGACAACAGACCACAGGCTCATGACCTTTGGCACAGAGACTGAAGTGTTTATTTGCTGCGGTGGACAGTTCAGTACTCAAAGTGGTCATTCTTTTCACTATCTCATCCAGTGGCATAGATATAGGGCAGGACTTCTTCTTTGAATAGGAAACCTGTTGGACACAGTTAGCATTTAAAGGTGTTAAAGGGATAGTAGACACTAGACCTGCTAGATTAAATCAGCACAGCCAGCGAGGATCGAACGCAACTTTTTTTGAACGAACGCAACAGTTTCGAACAAGCGCGCCTTTTTTAAACAACAAAATAATGGCTGTTTCGTGGTCTGTTGAGGAAGTACAGACGTTCCTCTTATACTTTAATATTTGTGTATACTGTATGCATATTTTGCCATAGACCATATTATAGGGCTGCACGATTAATCGAATGCGATTGTCATGCGCATTTTGATAGTAATGCCGGTTCTGTAATCAGCAGTAAATCATCTTCACGTGCTTTCAGATGGAGCAGAATTTACTTCACATAGCCGTAGTTCACTGACAAGTTACGCAAAAAAATCGCAAATCGCAAAAATCGATACTGACAGCTGTTTGCATAGCTTCTCAGTGAACTATGGCTCTGTGTAGTAAATGCTGCTCCATCTGAAAGCATGTGAAAATACCACATTTATAACATATTTTTTACTCCAAACTCACTTCATAATGTCAGTCGAGTATTTGAAATAAAGATGATGTGAGATGATGTGGCTTCTTACACAGAATAAGGCACGCACGCAACATATTTCATAGTACTTAAGCAGTGATAAAGGCATTGCATTATAAATATACTTTATTTTAATGAAAATTATAATAATAAGAACTCAGATAAACCGTATATTGCCATAGTCGTGTGTTTATTAGTCACGTTGAATCAATGAAAGCAGTTGAATCTTGAGTTTATTCGGCTGCAGCGATAGGCATTTTCTGGGTTTCTTCTGCGAGGCGTATTTGGAGTTTCAGCGCGAGAGCGCCCTCTGGCCTTTGGATGGAGATTTACTGCTGATCACAGAACCGTGCTTCACTGAAAGATACGCATGACAATCGCAGCTTCTGTCGAATCGCGATCTCGATTCTATTTCGATTTATCGTGCAGCCCTACCATATAATTTCTATCGACATAGTCAACAACTTTAAATAATTCGATTTATATTTCACCATCATTTTTAATTTATGTCATTTGCAGTGCTTCATTTAATTGTAGTTTTTGCCTTCATTACAGTCGCTAACTACACAGTCTTGTATCTTTTTGTCTGATTTTCAAATGCTGCTTCAAATAAAAGTTTGTAATGCTATGATTCACCACATAGCTGGTTGGTTTAATGGCATATATATATGCCATCTCATTTCTGCAGAACACCAAAGGAGATATTTTGTAGAATGACTGTGTATTTATTTTGGTCCATACAATGAAAGTCAATGGGGTTCAATGTTGTTTTGGACCCCATTGACTTTCATTGAACAGACAAAAAAAACGGTTTTCAAAATATCTCCTTTTGATCTGAAGGTAAACAAATAAATTTTTTGTTCTGAAGGTAAATAAATAATTTTTTTGGGGTGAGCTATCCCTTTATATCAATTGAGAGCCAGCAGACAACATTTAACCCCTACTGTTCAGTTATGTACAGCTGAGACCCCGAATGCACAACCATCTCACCCAGCAGGCTTTGATCTATATCGACAGCTCGGTGGGGCCTAGAGATGTGAAATTAATTTTCACCCTCCATCCTCAGTCTTTGTGTTGTTGGATGTTTACATGCTTTCTCTCAATTACCTTATCTTTCCACCCCCTCATTCCCCACCCTCACCCCTTTCTCTCTCCATTCCTGTGTTGTTTTACAAAATGTATGTGCTTTGGTCTTGGAGTTTCACTGTAAAAGCGGAAGCTACAATCATGGGTCAGAAATCTATATCATAACTAATCATGACACTTTGTCTTCCTTTTCCCAATTCTGTGCTTTCCTGTTTACCACATTTTCTCATTTCATAAACCATCTGGAGGTAAAAAGACCTTTTTTGCATCTCTCCTTCACAATTTATTACACTTTTTGCTTATGTTTTTACTGTAGATGCCAGAAACAATTTTTTTAGTAATTATTATTTGTGGTTTCAACATGTTACTACTTGTATGCCAATATCATTTCAATATGAGGAGCCTAATATTTATAATGTTAGCCAATACGCTGCAAGCTAAACAGACAGAATACAGATAGATCTACCCATAGTCCTTTGAATTTCATGGCAAGGTCACATATGTAGCCAATTTAATACCATTCGGTTTCAGACGTCTATGCTGCGTCCAGAACCAAAGGCAGCTGCTTTGCTGTATTATTGCCCAGTCTGTGCAATAACAGATGACGTTTTTGTATTAAGACACCTTTTAAGAAATCTGGTTCTTATCTGCCTTTCAGGGCACCATGTGGTAATGTCTAATGATCTAAAACAAATTAAAATGAGCTAAATTATTATTTCAAAGCAGATACATGCTTAAAAATAAAGGTTCTTTATTGGCATCTATGGCTCCATGAAGAACCTTTAATATCCACAGAAACTTTCTGTTCCACTAAAGATTCTTTATAGTAGAACGTTTTTTAGTTTAGTTTTTTTATTTTTTTGACTTTTTTAGACTTTTTAAGACTTTTTTCACACTAAGAAAAAAAGGGTTTAAGAACTGTTCACTAAGAGGTTATTTGGGGAATCTAAAATGTCTCTGCTGTGGCACTGCTGCTGGAAATAAAAGTTACGCCTTTTTTCCTTTGCGTGAACATTTGGGTGGCGTTATGCAAATCTTCCCACATCGTGACGTAGACATGTGGGGGCGTGTTAGAATGAGCCGTTTTAGGTAGGCGTGGTTGACTTTTAACTTTTATAAAGAATATCTCTTTATTTATAGCAACTTTACAGATCTTCTTTATGCACCTGTCACGGTTCACACACACGAGGAACACGGGAACGAAGGAGCGAGGAGACACGGAGTAAAGTAACTCAAAAGGGTTTATTGAACAAAGGCTTAGGATCACAGGACTCGACACATCAGGATGACGTTTAATGACTGACAAAGGACAAGAACTAGAACACACTTTAAATACACAGGAACTGATGAGGGGAAGACAAGGGACACCTGGAACTAATGACAATTAACATTGGAAACACCTGGGAACAATGAATTCAAAGCACGAGACAGAGAAACTGGATGACGGAGCACATAGTGAGCAAAGACACACAAAACCTGGCCCAGAGTCTGACAGCACCAAGAGCTTGTAACACTCCAAAGAGAAAGGAAAAATTTAAATTGCAACATATGACCCCTTTATGAGTAAATGGAATGATATGCTGAAAAGATTTGAAAAAAATAGACTTTAAGATAGTTTAAAGATAGTTTCAAAATTCTTTTACCTCTTTCAACCACTTCATCAGATGCCATTTTTAGTCTTTTAACCATAAGCAAACAAAGGATTGTGGGATAGGCAGCGAAGGAATAGGATGTTATGCCAAATTCGCATTTAGACCTGTCTTAAGGTTTAGTTCTCCCAAGAATGTTAATTCTGTCATCATTTACTCACCATCATGTTGTTCCAAACCTGTATGACTTATTGCTTCTGTGGAACATATAAGAAGATACTTTGAGGAACCTTTCATTATTTCCCCCAAACAGTGGAAGTCTATGGTCATCAAAATGGTTTGGTCACCAACATTCTTCAAAGTATCTTTTTTTGTGTTCCACATAAGAAAAAAATTATGAGTAATTGATGACAGAATTTTCATTTTCACCTCTATACTGCTCAGAAACGCAGAGTCACTTTGGTTTCATACACAGACATGGCCCGAACTGTCCATCTGGTTGTCCCGTAATGATATTGTACCACACATGGTGCATAGTGATGTACCAGAGACTAATTATCGGGCAGCGTCAGTTTCCTGTTCTGTGATGAGTCTTTAGGCCGTCACCCACTCAGGCCCAGCTCATCCACCTTCTCCATCTGCCAGCATGCGTGGAGGCTACAAAATCAAATGTGTTTACTCTCCCTCCCTCACTGGGGAAAGTGTATGATTATGAGTCTGATGTTATCGTTGCTTTTGCTTGGATGAGTGCTGTTGATGATTTCAGCTGTGAAGTTTGTGACATTTTCTTTCTGTTCATACTCTCATAATGTGTTGTTTTGTCTCCTTCTTGCATGTTCTGTCGTGTGAATCAATCATGTGTTTGCATGTAGGAATGTGGATGTAAGCGATTTACTTCTGCAGTGCTGTTTCTTGCCTCTTTAAGAGAAGAGCTTTCCTGCCAGACCAGCGTTTTCACCAATCTCAGCCAATCAGAAGCATCGACCCAGTGGCAGGATGAAACCGTATATGCATCGTTCTAATCAGTTTGTGTTGTACTGGTCTAAATTCTGAGTCGATTCACTCTCTAAAAGCAGTCGTTCCGGGAATGTTTGAGCGATTTCCATGAGTTTTATCTCTGTTTGTGTCTAGGTTGTCTGATGACATTGACTAGTGTCCTTTCACAGTTAAAACAGATTGAAGTGTCAGATGTTTGACTGTTTTTTGAGTGTTGAGGAAGTAACTGGATGGCTGGTTATTTCATGAGTGCCATGGTGTAAGGGATGTGGAAATTTAAATGATGGAAGATGTTACCCTGCCCATCCACCCATTTGTCTGGCTGACCATCCTTCTGCCTGACTATCTATTCATCCATTTCTATGTCTGTTCATCCATTTGTCTGTCTGCCTGTCTACCCATTCATCTTTCTTCCCATCAATCCAGCCATTTTTCCATTCATGGATCCATAGATCCATAGATTCATCTATTCTTGGGTTGTATG